CCGAGCTCGGACTGCCAGCAGCAGAACCCCTCTCAACAGGCCCTGGACAAGCCCAAATATAAACCATCCACAGAACAGAACCAGAAAGCTACATCTGAATCAGCAGAGATCATGAGACTTTTAAAGGAACTCTTCCAAGAAAAGCACCATAAGGGAGGGAAAAGGGATGAGTCAGATCAGTTATGACTAAGCACTAGCTCTGACCCCAATGCCCACTCAGAGTCCCCTCAAAATGAACTTACCAACCAGATCACTGCTAATCCACTGTTAACCACAGAACCAGATATCCCATCACCAAGTGGTGACATCACTCAACCACCTCAGCTGACTGTGGAACCACCAGAACCAGCCAACATCCCGCAACACACCTCCAGCCAGGACCGCAACATACCAGAAAGTGCAGTTTTGGTGGTCTGCCTCCCTGTCGAGCCACACAAGACCAGCTCTGACTGCTTGCCAATCACCACACAAGCCCCAGTGCCGAGACTCCTAGGGAACCTAATCGAAAGTGGGGTGGCAAAAAAACTCTACCTGGCCATCACATTAGAAAATGAGGTGAGACTGGATGCCCTAGTGGACACTGGAGCTGACCTCACTTTATTGTCAAGCCAACTTTTTGACAGACTTCAAAGTAAAGTCAAGAGACAGAATTAGTCACCAAGACCACCCCAGACAGACTGTCAGGTCACAAAGGTCACAGGAAATCTCGCTGCCAGCCGCGGAAACGTCTCGGCCCAAGAGCAAGGTTCAAGGTCACTGCTCTGCACTTTCCAGTTAGCCAAAGACTCTGACACATATGGCCCCCAGGTTAAGGGGGGCTTACAACTGAATGATGTCACAACAACAGACCATTTTGATTCGCCACCATCCCTGAGGCCTGCATGCTAATCAATGAAAAAGAGACTGTAGTACCAGCTTACACCAAAGGGCTCTCAGCCACACCCCCACTTCACCCGAATGTGGGGAACTGGGCCTCACATTGGAAGCCACACCCCTCGTTGAAGTGACATCTCGGGCAGTCTACATCTTGTTCAATAACTGCATGGCAACAAATGTCAGAGTGCCTAAGGCGTACGCCAAGGCATGCCCACAGCCTACGTCGATGGATGTTCCTACAACCACGAGGGCATCCTAAAGGCAGGTGCTGGTGTTCTCTGGCTAAATGATCGACCCTGCCCACCACAACACTTCAAGCTGGGTCCACAATCGTCACAATATGCTGAGATAGCAGCTATTCTCATAACCCTGCAGATAGCATCAACCTGTAACATCAGAGAACTGCTCATCTGCACAGACTCCAACTATGCCAGACTTGGCTTCACATGCCATCTTCCAGGCTGGAAGCAAAATGGTTTCAAGACAGCAAACAACAAACCAGTTAAACACCAACACCTGTTCCAGGCATGCGACGACATCACATGTGAACATGATATGATCGTCTATTGGAAGAAAGTGAAAGGACACTCAAAGCAACCTGGTCCAGACAAGGACCTCAACGACCAAACGGATGCCCTAGCCAAAGCAGGTGCACTACATGGCGAGTTATGGTCTCCACCAACCCACCCTTAACGTGGCAGCCATAACCCGCAGCAAACACACTCAACCCACCACAATGCCCACCACACAGCCTCTTACGCTGGCTCCTCAAATCTCCACTAATGACATTGCCGACATGCAAGCTTCTGACTCCGCCATCAAAACCATCCTTCACCACCTCTCTGACCCCTCCAGCCACCCTATCACACCAGATTAACTTGCTGCTTCCCCAAGCCTCAAACGGCTATACCACGTAACACACATGCTGCGCGTGATAAACAACCATCTGTTTTATGCCCCTGATGACCTCACTGCACCAAGGCTCGTGGTGCCACACTGCCTAAGGGGGGTGATGCTGATGTATGCTCACGACGCACCATGTGCGGGACACCATGGCACAAGAGCCACTTATGAGACACTTAAACAAGTAGCATACTGGCCCGGCATGCAGCAAGATGTGGCAAAGTACTTGAAAGGATGCCTTGTCTGCTGCCAATTCCAACCAGCTAACCCAAACCACAGAGCCCCACTACAGTGCAGAGGAGTCACGTTTCCTTGGTCAGACCTTCAAATTGACTGGGTCGGACCCTTACCCAGGTCAACAAGAGGCAACAAGTATTTCCTCACAGTCGTGTGCCAGTTCACAAAGTGGGTAGAATGCCTCCCAGCACCCAATGACACTGCTCAAACTACAGCATACCTCCTGTTGAATCACATTTTCTCCAGGTTCGGGCTACCGCTGAGAGTCAACTCAGACAGAGGCACCCATTTCACAGCTGAGATCATGCAGCAGATTTGGAAACTCCTGGGAGTACAAGCACAACTGCACATCAGTCACCATCCTATTTCTTCGGGCCAAGTGGAACGGAAGAATCGGACGGTGGTCAGCATGCTAAGAAAATATGTGTCTGCTAATCAAAAGGACTGGGATGTGAAACTGCCCCTGGTGCTCATGGCTATCAGAGCAACTCCACAAGAATCAACAGGTGTGCCTCCTTTTGAACTAATGACAGGCCGGCAAATGACATTGCCCTTGCACGTGCTGTACCAGCCAGGAGACTCCAACCTCGTCACCGCCTACACCACTCATCAATACCTTGATGAACTACACCGGCATTTGATAACCACATTTGCTTTTGCCCAACAACGACTCCAAAAGAGCGCAGAAGGCCAGAAAGCATACTACGATCGGAAGGCATCACACAAAGAACTGGATGTGGGCGATAGGGTCTGGTACTACAGCTACGCACAGCCTCCTCAGACAACCTCTCATCGGCTATCAAAGAAGTTTCTGCCACACTGGACAGGACCGCATGAGATTGTGGACAAACTCTCCCCTGTCGCATATCGGATCAAGCTGAGTCAGGGACAAAAAGAACCAGTTTTCAAATGGGTCCATCGTAACCAGATCAAGAGACATGTGGCTGCTGGCAGAGAAAGACAGGGGGGCTAGTGCTAACTAGGCATTGCTATAATCCTCAAACAAAGACTGTCTTGAACAGACAAGAACTTCCCTCACTGATCCACTGCCTTTCTCCCTTTTTCTTTGAACCAGGATGCTGCTGTGGCTCTCCATCCTCTGCCTCCAGCTAAACAGAGGACAGCCGCAACCCGATATCACATCACCAGGTCCAGCATCAGGCATTGCACTGAGGGACCAAGCTGGACGTCTTATGACCAACTGTAGGACTCACACCCAGGTGTATGTCCGACTCGACCCCTGAAATGTCTACCGGACACATTATCCCCGAAGGAATCTGTGGGTTACAACCCATGCAAAGAGAGACACTCTGCCCCACTGAGGCCAAGCCTCGCACACAAGTCACAGAAACGCAAGCAGAGATTGTGGCAAATCAGTGGGTCGTCAACACGCCCATCCGTACCGTCACACCGACCTATGACCAGCACGACACTGCCACCTGTGTCAGCCTGCCCAACCAGAGTATGTGGATTCAAGTGCCCAAAGGTGCCATCCTCCACCTCTGTGACCTGGCGCTGTACCACCTTCCAAGTGAAGAGTACCAATCCGAGGTAGAAATGCCAGCCTTCTTCAGGGACAACAATCTCACCATGGAACCTGAATTGGAACTGAGCATTGAGAAAGGGGGGTCCCAGACGATTGACATCACCCCAATCGACACAGCCCTCCAAGCACTGTCTCGGATGCCTGTCCAGAACACCTTTCCCGTCGCTCGATCTTGGACCTCTGCTGACACGGCACTTTGCCTTGCCACAGCAATCGGGTACACCCTAACCCTCGGCCTTGCCTTTGTCCTGTTTAACAGAGTCAACGGGGTGCAAAGGTCCATGAACAGGTGCACAGCTGCCCTTCCTCAAACCTTCAAATGGAGCCACCGGAAAAGAGGGACCCAGGCGGAGACAATGCTGAACCTGACCAAGGTTAACACTCCCGCTGAGGATCCGAAGGCTGAGGAAAATTAGGATCCACCTGCCATCCGGCCTTCAGGACCCACCTGCCATCTAGCCATTATGATCCATCTGCTACCCGATCATCATGATCCACCTGCTGTCCGAAGCAGATGAAAACTGTTGTCTGACGATGTGTGCAGGTGAACTTTGTCAGCCAAAAGGGTGGCTGTAGCATCTGCGTAGAATCATGCATGATCTTTGGGTTTTATGGCTTAAGAGACCCTTTTAGCTTTTGACATTTGCATATAAATTACAGTCCTGGTCACAGACTTTACACTTATATGGGTGCTAAATGGCCAATGGTTCCCCCCACTATCAAGGAGATGCTAAACAGTTTCACCACTCTCGTCTCCCCATTGAATTTCAAACACATTCCAAAGAGACGTAAATGACCCCCGGGGCCAGGCACCAATGGGCATGGCTGACCAGCAAACTACAACATGCTCACATAACACACACCCACACACACATAAAGACATTTCTTTATTTAGACTATAATTAATCAGTTATAATTGTATCTGGTATATGCATGTGTTGTTTGTATGTTTCCCTATTGTATTAACCTAGTTACAACTCCTTATTTGTATTAGTTAGACTCTCAATGCGTATATTCAGGTATATGAGTGTATCTCTGCTTTAAGATCTTCTAGATGTTTCGTTCTTGGTATCAAAATGATCAGCTCTTTATTCCTCAAACAATGATCTACACTGTGCTCATGAAATGCATCTTACTATTTGTAGCATATTTTGGGTAAAACTGCACCAATCTTCCAGACCAGCAATAAACATGCAAATGGGTCATAAACAGAGACAAAGAAAGTTTCTCCCACTCAAAATGCATGCCTCTGATTGGCCATTTCACCCAAAAGGTGGGTGTGGATAGGAACTATCAAAAGTCATTAGCTCAGACTAATCTTGGCTCAGAAACCCTCTTCGTTTGATACAACACTTTTCCAAGACTCTCAAGATTTTCCTCTTTAGTTTTTATTTTCCGGCAGTTTTTATCTTCAAGTAACTTTAGTCGCTGTGGACTTTTCCTTCAGAAGAAGAACCAGAAGTAAACTTCCAGCTCACTCCTAACGAACTCATCAAAGACCTCCGTTGTCTACCACATCAGAACTCTTGTTCAGCAATCAAAGCCAATGCAAGTAACCATTTACAACTATTTAAATGCGTGTTTAAGTTTCAGCCCCTTTTAAGGTGATTTTTGATTCTTTGATGATTCTCAAAGCTTGTGTTTAAACTTGATGTGAAATACTGCCATCCTTTTACTTCCCTCTCTCTTTTCCTTACTTTGTTTCATTCTGTACATATATGTGTTTTGCTTAGTTAGTTATATGTTAGATATATTTCATTTATTAAATCCCTTATATTCAAGATCGATTGCCTCTGTTGCTGCTCACAATTCTAAGTCAATGAATGTTTTGAACCCTTGATACATACTGTATGTTAAATTACTGCTAGCACTGCATAAATAAGGAAAGTTATCCTTCTTTGGCCAGGAAAATAATCTTTCTTTGAATTGATAAATTATTATTTTGTCTGCTCGGTGGACGGACAGATCAAGTAATGGTGATATTGATTCTGCTACAGTTAATTCGAAGATCTAATCTAAATATTTATTATTAATCATAACCAGTTATAATTAGTCATAAATATTTCCCTTTTGAGCTGATTTACTACACTCTACTAATATCTTCTTTTAATAAATGAGTTTCTTGTAGAAAGATTGTTTGATTTAATTTGTTTCAGTCGACCTAGTACTTGTTTAAGTTTTACCATTGTTTAAGTCCTCTTACATTCCAGCTACAAATATTTATCTCCGAGTTATTAACCATTTACCTACTTATATAACCATGTAGATACAGCTGTGCCTGGGCTTACGATATAGAATATAGAACAGAAGGGAAAGAATAAAAAAAAAAAAAGCTTACATAAACAACCCCCCGCCATCCCACCCCACCTGCATTCCCCCAAATGGAAAGCATAATAATCCTCCTTACAATGAACTTTGGTTATGAAATATGTTTGATCCATATAATATGAGCAACATTTAGCAAGCCTGCTCTTATTACTATTAGCCCCGGGCTCGCTACACAATGAAGAACATAACTGGGCCATGAATTTGATACTAAATCCCACCCTATAGAACATCGGCCTACTTTAGATTGACTCACGTGCATCTATTCATGAACTTATTTACCCGCATTAATGAAAATTTTGGAGAAAGAAAAAACCATTTAAACTATACATTTAAACCAGCAAGGTGATTAGCCGAAATATTCCAGTTCTGCTGGAATATAATCAATTTCAATTCCACGCAAAATTTCAACATCTTGACAACTTGAACATAGAAATAATAGTGTATCCTTGACTTTGATAACTAAACACAGAGTTCAAGTCCTGATGAGTCCACACTTACTTGTGTTACAGTATTTAAGCAGTGGTACGTATTGACCGAACAAAGTCATCCACCTCCACGACAGATTTAAAGACATGAGGCTGGCCATCGTGCGTGACTATCAGGTGCGCTGGGTAAATCATCCCGTATCGAATTTCCATGTCTCTAAGTTGTGCCTTTAATCCGTCAAACTGTCGCTGCC